GAAAGTTTAATATGAGACAAAGATATAGGGATGGTGTCATGTGGCTTTGTGCATATTTGGTGTGTAATGACCCATTGTTTCTTCCTTTTTGGTGCTTCACGCCATCCCTATATCCCCCTTTCATTTTGAAGAAATGATTTTTCCACTTGTACTAGTCCACTTCAGCTACTGTAGTTCTCTAGTATAGTGTAGAGTGGTTTGAGAAATCAGTTTTGTTTAATTAACCATCGGCGCGCATGCACAGTGAGGGTTACAGTACTTGTCTGTCCGTCCATCTGTTTTCTGCGCAACAAACAGGTAAAAAGCGACACCAACGGGTTTAGCACTACACCGGCTTCATTTTAAAAATGACGATTTTCGCTCAGGTAAATTTTATCTGTACATTAATTGGTAATCGCCCAAAAAATTAGAGGTGCGGAGTGCTGGTTCATGGGTAAAATTGCATGAGCAATCGGCCAGCATATTTGTTATGTTGACAGGACTTTCACAAGAGTGTTTTTCGTTCTTAGCACTATGTGGTGTATGGACTTGTTATGTTGTGTTGTTATATTAGCGTATGTTGTATTAGCTGTATGCATGTTGTAATGTATACCCTACAATATGTATGGACTGTTGTATGTTCGGTATACTATGTATCATGTGCGTGTGCATTCCTGATAGTTGTACGCGTGCCATGACATCATCCACATATAATTATGTAATTATATAGGTGTGTGGTGCATTGGACTCGTGCCTTGTGTATTGATTTGAATAGAACAACTCGATCCTACCCATGTCAGGCGCGAGGAATTTACACACTAGCTACATGCCTATAGAATGTTAGAGCTCACTCACGCTGAATTTCATGTCTTCTAAATCTAGTAGATTTCACGTTTTCGTGTATTCTAAGTGCCCGGGGCGTTTTTTGTGCGCGCGCATATAGTAGGTGCGCGTTAATTAGAAAACCACGCGCTGAGTTCAACATAGTATTACAGGGAAAGGAGGAGAGGCGGCGTAGCTGGTCCCGTGCACATGCGCATGCTCGTCGTTAGACGGCGGTGGTGGCTGATCCGTAGCGTCAGTTTCGTAGCTGTCACTTGCCTCTAGCAGTATGCGGTTTATTTCGTTGTGGCTGTCTTCTTGCGAGTCTTCCAACCACTCCATGATGTCTTCGCAAAACATCGCGTTTTTGGTTGCTAAGGACGCGTAGAGCCTGCGCCCGCTCTAAATAAGTTAGGCAGGCTCGTCCAATGAAATCTACGCGATTTAGAAGGCCTCGGGCCCTTAGTATCGTCCTCGCTACGCTCGGACGCTACAGCCCAGGGCCCTCGGCCTTCTAAATCGCGTAGATTTCACGGACTCACTGTCTAACTATTATTTAGAGCTCACTCACGCTGAATTTCGTGTCTTCTAAATCTAGTATATTTCACGTTCTAAGTGCCCGGGGCGTTTTTTGTGCGCGCGCATATAGTAGGTGCGCGTTAATTACAAAACCACGCGCTGAGTTCAACATAGTATTACAGGGAAAGGCGGAGAGTCGGCGTAGCTGGTCCCGTGCACATGCGCATGCTCGTCGTTAGACGGCGGTGGTGGCTGATCCGTAGCGTCAGTTTCATAGCTGTCACTTGCCTCTAGCAGTATGCGGTTTATTTCGTTGCGGCTGTCTTCTTGCGAGTCTTCCAACCACTCCATGATGTCTTCGCAAAACATCGCGTTTTTGGTTGCTAAGGACGCGTAGAGCCTGCGCCCGCTCTAAATAGTTAGCTGCTCGTCCAATGAAATCTACGCGATTTAGAAGGCCTCGGGCCCTTAGTAGCGTCCTCGCTACGCTCGGACGCTACAGCCCAGGGCCCTCGGCCTTCTAAATCGCGTAGATTTCACGGACTCACTGTCTTACTATTATTTAGAGCGCCTTGAGTGAGACACGGAAATATAATATTATACCTGGCATAACTTCATTTACACAGGTGAATTGGCACCCTATGCTAATAACCATCAGATTGTGTATATTATTACATGAGCCAATACACCGGATCATGTGGCAGTGAAAACTCTCAGTGATAACAACACATAATGACCAAGATAATATACATAAAAGGGAGATCAACATGGGTGATTCAAACCAAGTATAACATATATACATGTTTCGTGTACAGCAAGTCATATTGCAGCAGCTACTCCAGGATGATTAATCTTCCTGAGAGCTTTCTTGAGATTTCCCCAAGTTGCTCCCCCTTTGTACTCCTCTTTAGTCCTGATTCCATCTTTTCCTAGTATCCATGCCCGAATGAGATCCTCTGCATAAAAGTTTCGACTGCTGTCTGTGAAATTGTCCCGAACTGTTGCGTCAAAGAGTCCCAGTTCCAGAAATAGCTCCTTCATTTCTTGTTTGCTCAGATGCTGCAGATGCCTCTTGGCAATGAGGAGATCTCTGTTGATATCTGTTGAAGTTGGGAGAGAGCCAGTTAACTTTGCTAAGTGAGATTGTGGGCTAAGTATATACAGGGCAGGGGCGTGGCTACAACCCTCCGGGGTAACTAAAATTCCAGGTCGAGCGATCACGTAAGGTGGGGATTTAGTAAATGTCCACTGTAAAACGACGGAAGGGTTGGGATTTATAAAACTCCGGGATGAAGCGACGCGCAAGGGTGGGGATTTACTAAATCTCCACGGAAAGGACACAGAAGGGTTGGGATTTACTAAATGTCCGAGATGAAGCGACAGGTATATAAAGGTGGGGATTTACTAAATCTCCACGGAGAAAAGAGATGGAAGGGTTGGGATTTACTAAATGTCCATGGCGCGAATCGATGGAAAGGTTGGAATTTATAGTGAAGCGGTGAAAGGGAGGGGATTTACTAAGTATCCCTTGTTGAGCGTCAAAAGAGAGGAGATTTAGTAAATACCCGCATGGTAGACTGAAGAAACGAAGGGAATTTACTAAATTTCCACCGAAAATCGGTAGCTACTATCCTCTCTCGTAATAAATGTCAGCAGAAAATAATTTTGACACAAATAGCACCCCATACGTCGGACGATGCATGGCCCAACCCACCTAGCTTGGAAACGTACAAACGTGCGCATTTTGCGCCGAGGGTTTGCACTTTAGTACTTTTTTGTTGTAAAGAAAGTTGTTGTGTATGGTTGCGGGTGGTACTATAATTAACCCTCGGCGCGCATATAGTCGTGTGTGTGTGTGTGTGTCTGCAGCTATTCTCGCACTACAGGCTACGAGGCGGCCCCGTGAGCGATACCAACGTCTTCAGAACTACGCGAGCCTGAAAATGTTTTTCCTGAAACGACTGCGTTCGAGAGGTATGCCGTGAAAACGCATAATCGCATTGGGCTTACTGCGACCTCTGCTCGCTCTGTGTACCTCGGAGGCACAAGAAGTCACAACGAAGGGCATGTATCGACTCCCGCATGCTATCTACTACTCTCCGCGAGCTACTAGCGGGAGATCACGGGTAAACGCAGACTAATAGGGCCAGCCCATCAATTAGAGGTACAGCGCATGCGCAGTTCGCCGAGGGTTTGCACTTTAGTGCTTTTCATTCAGACGGCAGTAAGTAGTCAGTATCCATGAAGGGCACCATGCTTTCTTTAGCTCTTCCCTTATATGGTTCTTCTGTGCCTTCAAAGGCCAATAAATCTTCAATTTTTATGGGTGATTTGTTTTCAAGAATCTGGTCTACTCCTCCATGCAGCGTTCTGCTGGTAAATTCATCTCTCTCCTCAAGATTGTAGCACCCCCTTCTAATCATGGCAAGATTAATGTAGGGAGACTCTAGGGTGGGAAGGTACTTGTCTGCTGGAGCTAGGACTCTAGCATTGTAACAAGACTGCAAATACTGCTTATACTTTGCCAACACTGAACTTACACCTGAGTATGGTACTGACTTACTGACTGTCTCAATGAACATGTACCACTTGGTTTGCAGGGTAAAGGTGTGCCACTTACTACTGTATGAATATTTGTCTGACTTCCTTTTCCTGTAATAAAAATAGCATATGAATTTGTGATAGGGATAATCATAGTAACTAACGAGGAAATTCCACCAGGCTATCTGAGGGAAATTGCTCACCAACCACAAAGGCTGTCATCTCAGGGCAAATCTTTCCTACAGATGTAATAAAGCATGATATATAGAGCAGCAACAGTAAAACAGTTGTAGTTACCTATTTCCTGCAACATTTCCTTGCCGGGTTCTTTGCAGGGCTGCATTCTGCAGAAACACCTCAACTATACTGAATAATTTGGCGGGATGTGACTTCATCTGTTTGTGAAGATCTCTAACTAAAGTTATAGCCTTTGCCTGTTCTGATTCAGGAGACGTCAGTAGCTCAATCATTACTGAGTATTGTATGAGATTCTTTATCTGAAGATGTGTTGCTAGTTCAACTGGCTCTTTCATTAAATAGCAGAGTCTGCCAGAGAACCGCTTGAAAACCTTTCTAAGACCCTTACTTTCAGTCTCAGAGATGTTGTAATGGTATTCAGGTGAAGAGCCGTCTGTCTCAGTGGAACTTGAGCTTTCTCCCTTTTTACTAATCCTAACCCCTTTCCCTTTTCCCTTTAGCTTTCTCTTGCCCTTGAAGCCTGGTTGTTCTAGACTGTCCTCTTGTGAGCTACCTCTGGCTGTGGGGCTATTACTCCTCTCTCTGTGCTTTTTTATTACGCCTCTTTTCTTTGGCCATTGGTCCCCACCCCCACAACCAGTATCTGATTCATCATTAGCTTCCTTTTGTTTTCCTTTTCTAGTGATACCCTTTCCTTCTGTTGTAGAGTATTCCCTCCTACTTTCTCCTGATATTCCACTTGCTCTTTTCTTCACTTCCTTTTCACTGGTGGCAGAAGAAGACCCGTCATCATGTTCTGTTTCCTCCTCTTCATTAGATGACTTTTGTTCTGAGTCTCTGTCTTCTTCATCCTCACTCCTATCATCATCTGAACCCCATTCTTCATCTTCAGTGCTGTCTTTGGTGCTGGGTGAAGATGGTGTGGCTTGTTTCAAAGGAATCTCTGTTGCTTTCTTTTGCAACGTTTCTTCCTCATTCTCAACCTGCTCTTCTTGTGAATATAACTTGGGGTACCTGGATTTCTCTTGTACCCTCTGACTTTGTAAAAACTTTCTGTTCCCCTGACCTTTGGCTTTGGTTTTCATTTTTCTTTTTCTTCTTACACTTTTCACCATCTCAATTCGTTCTCTGTTAGGGGGAGACTCAGTAGTTACTGAGTATATTTTTGGATGCTTTGTTTCCCTTAAATCTGAACGGCCTTCATTGTGCATGTCGTTCTTTGGACTCTTACTCCTTATAGACTGTTTATCAGAGGATGAGATGGAAAGGTGCTCTTTCATGGAACTGATTTTCTTCCCTGATGCGTGCTTTACTTTCTGAGATTCTTGTTTTTCTTTCTCAGGATTGACTTTAGGCCTTTTCTCATTGTATTTCGGTTTTCTAACATAGTCGTAACTTGTGACTTCACTTATATTTTCACTGGTACTGGCAGAAGAAGACTCATCTTCAGATTCTAATTGGGGTTTATGAGGTGTTTTTTTTCACTTACCTCCGGATCAGAATCTTGCTCCCCCTCATCAGTAGCTTCTGCAGTACCCTCTACAGACGTATCTGGTGTCTTACTTGTGATACTTCGCGTTGCTTCTTTACAACAATTTCTGATTGATCACGTGTCACCTTACGTTTTAGTGGAGCTGATTTCGGCCCTTTTTTGTACTGTTTCTGTGAGTACCTGACAGATTCAGATTCACCTGTTCTTTTTTCACTGTGAGGAGTTACATATTCTACAACAGATTCAGAATCACTAGATTCCTCCTTCGCGCTTCTTTCATGTATTACATTTACACACCCCTTTTCACTTTGTACCTTTTCTGAGTATTTCTTGCTCATTCTAGAATGCTTCTCTCTCACAGGAACATTATCCCGAGGCCTGAGTTGGTCTGAAATCTCACGATTGAGATCAGAGCGAAGGATATAGCTTTCTTGAATGCTGTCGGCTAGGCGATGAGCACCTACCGTTTGTGATCTAAGTGCCGTGACAACATCACCCCAGGTGAGCGGTGGTACTCCATTTAAACGAGCAAACAAAACTTCAAGCAGCCTGTCATCGTCATTTTTGTGATCAGCTTCAATACCTTGAATTGTAGGCAAGTCCACCCCAAGCTGTAAACAAAGGTATCTGTACTTTGTTCTTACATCGTATAGGGCTTCATATAATGGCTTCAAATCATTTTCACCCAAGCCACATTGTTGTTGCTTTTCCTTTCTTCCATATTCACTTTGAGACCCTTTGGTTTTCATTGTTTTGCTTTTCACTTCTGTTTCACTCTCAGAAGCATATTCATCTCCTGTGGTTTGCTCTGAGGTTTTCCGGTATTCTTTTCCCCTTACCTCCTCATCTGAACTTTGCTCTTGTTCTGAGGAATCTTCTGAATGTGTTTCAGATTTGTTTGCTTTTACTATTCTTCACTACTTGATGCAGCAGAAGATTCACTTTCAGACTCTTTTGGAACTTCTTTTTGTGCTCTTTGCTCTGATAATTCTTTGCGTACTTGACTACTTCTTTCCCTACCTTTTAGCTGGATTTTACTTTCACAGCTTTTTGCTTCATGTGCAGCTTTTCCTGGTTCTGGTTCTGAACCCTTCTTAACTATTTCAACTCTTTGTTGGGTCCTTTTGAGCCGAGTTTCATTTGTAAATGATTTTTTTGGTGGTTTTTCTGACAGTTTCTCAGATTCACTTCTTTGGCTTCCATACTTTTTACGTATGTCCTCTGCTATCTGACTCCCACCCACACTTGGGGACTTAAGAGCATTGTATATATCTTCCCACGTAAGGGCTGGTGTTTTTTGCAAACGAAGAGAAATAACTTCAAGCATACATTCACTTTGTTGACTGCATTGTGCTTCTATTCTCTTTATGTCACTATACTCTATTTCCCCGAGCTGTATGCCAATGAGTTTATACTTGTGAACAAGTGGATGAAGCTCATTTATTATGTCTTTCAAGTCTTTATCGCTCAAGGGCTGGTTGGACCAAGTATCGCAGGTCCCACTTCTAGCGGCCATTGGTGTTGAGCAGGCACGCCCCCTTTTTCGGACACCTCGCCGCGTGCAGGCTAGATTGATACCGCCTGTACGTAATAGCTAACAGTATTTTCCTGATAAGGGCAGAAAGTATTGTACAATACTCGTCACTCACACAATCCACCAGTCTGATCTTTCTTGAGCTTGTGCAGAGAAAATGGGCGTATCTCGCGATCGCGCGCGCGAACGGCGGAGGCGACAAACGTGGGGTGGGGCTCATGAATGTGGAACAGCGACATTCATAGCCACTAGCCACACACACACACACACAAGAGCTCTTTCTGGGAAAAAGAAAATCTATTAAATTTCCTTAGGACTACACACATGGTTAGAACAATGTGTGCTTCCAGCATGTGCATAGAAATTTGCCACAGATTTTTGTATCAACACCGGGATCAGATTAGTGCGAGAACCAAGTAAACAGGCCTCCCCTACACGAGTTCAGCTCTATGTTGATGATTGGCACAATTAAAGCAATGTAGCTCTGGCTTAACCATTCACATTCTGGGAAGACATTCTCATTATTGACTTTCTAGAATCGCAATTTGTTGTTCATAAGCTCCATAAAGCAAAGAAACACAAAGTAGCCAATTCAAGACATCTTAGGGTGTTCTCCCAGAAAAGCAGGCAAGTCTATAACTACCTACAGAGGAAAAAACTCGTAACTCACGCGCGAAGGAGGCGACAAACGTGGGGTGGGGCTCATGAATGTGGAACATGGACATTCATAGCCACTAGGCATCTATTGAATTTCCTTAGGACTACACACATGGTTAGAACAATGCTGACACAATGTGCGCTTCCAGCATGTGCAGAAATATTTGCAAGATTTATTGTCACTCGTGATGTCAGGTGAAAACAATGGTAAAATGATAGCTACTTAATTTTAAAGCAAAGAAACACGAAGTAGTCAATTCGAGGGTGTTCAACAGCAGCAAAGGATGAGGTGGCCAACCCCAGTTCAGAGAAGAGGGAATGAGCAAAGTGTCCATTGCGGGTCCCAACAATGGTGATTTTTGTATCATTACTGGGATCGCAGATTGGTGCGAAAACCAAGTAAACAAGCCTCCCCTACACAAGCTCAGCTCTATGTTGATGATTAGCACAATTAAGATATGTATATAGCTCTGGCTTAACCATTCACATTCTGGGAAGACATTCTCCTTATATAAGCAGGTTTTTGTTGCTTTAAGCTTCATAAAGCAAAGAAACACAAAGTAGCCAATTCTAGGGTGTAGAAAAGCAGGTAAGTCTATATCTATACCTACAGAGGACCACCCAAGTAAAAACCAAACGACCAATTGTAACTACAATCGTTGCTACAACCAGGAAAAAAGATTATGGTAAAATGTTTCTTGAGTATTATACGATAACATACTGTAAAGCTGGAGATGTCACCATTATATACCTTGTTGGTCAGAAGGCCCTCTGCTTGAGGAAAGGTTGCTATTTCAACTGGGGTTTTTGATAGATGGTCAGTGGTAAAAATTACGCTCAGACCTTCTGCCATAATAGTTTCTAGTAACAGTTGCCAGCTCTTCACTCATCATGCCCATTTTGAGCAAAGATGTCATGATAATTTCATTTTTAACCTCCCTTTTTTCTCTCCCTCTCTCCCTCTTTCTCTCTCAGAGCTGCAGGAATCCTCTGGAGGGAGGGAGCTTCTTTGCCAAGTTGGGCAGACCATACTGCAAGAACTGTGTCTATCTGCTGACAACTAATGCCTTTTCTATATACCATTATACTAGTCCACTATACATAGCTATACTATAATTATATAGCTATCTAGTATAGTGTAGAATGGTTTGAGAAATCAGTTTTTTGCTTTCGCCATTTATTATGCAATTTTAAATTAGGGATATCTGTTGCATGCTGCTGGCAATGAAAGATGGCATGGTTTGCTTGCTTCGCTTTGCGCATTTCACTTTCATTGGCATAATGTTGATGTAAACAATAATTATAATATACATTAGGTGCACAGTTGTGATTATGATGGTTGTAAAGTCGTTAGGTTGTGAAGGTTTCTCCTGAAATCAGATCTGAGATGAAATCAAATTCAGGTTGCAGGCTGTGGTCAGTATGTAGGTTTGTGTCCTGAGTATGAATGTTGCTGGAGGTATGAAGGTTGTTGTAGGTGTGAAGGTTGTTGTAGGTGTGAAGGTTACTGGAGGTATGAAGGTTGCTGGAGGTATGAAGGTTGTTGTAGGTGTGAAGGTTACTGGAGGTATGAAGGTTGCTGGAGGTGTGAAGGTTGTTGTAGGTGTGAAGGTTACTGGAGGTATGAATGTTACTGGAGGTATGAAGGTTGTTGTAGGTGTGAAGGTTGTTGTAGGTGTGAAGGTTACTGGAGGTATGAAGGTTGCTGGAGGTGTGAAGGTTGTTGTAGGTGTGAAGGTTACTGGAGGTATGAAGGTTGCTGGAGGTATGAAGGTTGTTGTAGGTGTGAAGGTTGTTGTAGGTGTGAAGGTTACTGGAGGTATGAAGGTTGCTGGAGGTATGAAGGTTGTTGTAGGTGTGAAGGTTGTTGTAGGTGTGAAGGTTACTGGAGGTATGAAGGTTGCTGGAGGTATGAAGGTTGTTGTAGGTGTGAAGGTTGTTGTAGGTGTGAAGGTTACTGGAGGTATGAAGGTTGCTGGAGGTATGAAGGTTGTTGTAAGTGTGAAGGTTGTTGTAGGTATATAAGTTGGTTGGTGGACATAATTTATGCCGGTAATTTGCTGGTGGTTGCTGCACTTGTTGTAAGGGTGTATAAAATAGCTATCTGTAAATCTTGCAACATTCTAAAGTAAGTCTAAGTCTCCCCACATGGAGATTGGTAGTAAATTTTGTGCATAGTTTTGCTCAAGGTGTTCTTCTTCTTGATGATACTCAGCTGTTGATGGCACATGTGTATGTTGCTGCACATGTATAGCTTGTTGTAGATGTGAATGGTGATATGCATGTCGTTGAAGGTGTGAAGGTCGTTGTAGGTATGTAGGTTGTTGTACAGGTTGCTGTAGATACACAGATTGTAGATATGCAGGGTGCTGTAGATATGATGGTTGTTGTAGATCTGTTGGTTGCTGTAAATATACAGGTTGTAGGTATGAAGGTTGCTGTGATTTTTCAACCCCCCCCAACATTCCAAAGTAAGTCCTCCTGAGTCTCTCCACATACTGATGGAGATGAGATATCTCCAGACACTCCCTGAGACGAGGGTCTAGACCAGAGAATGACTGTAGAACTGCAGTGTCTGGAGCAGTGAATGAGGGAAGAGAGAATAACTTCTTTCCCTCCTCCTTCCTCTTGGAAAATAGCTTCTTGAAATCAACAACTGGTGCTTTTGGCGAATAATACAAAGTTCTGTCCCAAAAGAGTTGGGTCTGTGGCCGAGTCAGGTCTGAAGATGAGAATGATCTCTTGAGATTAGGAGACATGTCACTACGGACAGCCCCCACATTGAACTGTTGAAGTGGTCCAAGTCCCGTCCACTGACCATACTCCCATCCTGTTTCCACCAGCAGAGAGAGGGAGGAATAATCCAGACTGGATGTTCATCTCTTCCAGAGTAGTGTTGTCCTTGAGAATGTCGTTTAGTTCCAGAAGGAAGTTAGTGCAGGTAGTCTTACTAGGCAGAGGAACTCCCCGCATGGATGAGAAATGGAAGCGTTTCAATCATTGCCCAATTTCCGTTCTTTCCTGGATGGTGGCAATTGAAGATCTTCATGAATCACGAGATATCTTAACGTCCTATTATTTCTAAGTGCACTACATATGTAGATGATTCCATCATAGCCCAGTCTGGTTCTCTTCAGCTCCAATGTGGTAAGACTGGGACAGTGTAGTAAGATGCTACGGACACCAGCCATGGTCTCACGAGATATGTGAGGCAACACCATTTTAGTAATTTGATTTGATTTCAGAGTGAATTTCAGTACAGAGTCAACCAGTACATCTGCTGGACTGTGAAGATCATATATTATGTGTGAAGGAAATTTAATATCAAGCACAATCTCTGTAAGTCTAAATTCTACTAGCCAGCAAAGAGTGCTTTCCTTCTTGCTAGAAATGTGCAAATATTTGAGTTCACTGAGGGGCTTAATTCCAGCAAGCCACTCCCATGATTTGATAGCAAATTCATTAGCACAGACTGTGAGTGATTGAAGTTTGGGAAGTGTGTGTAAAAATTGATTAGCAACACAGCTGTTAACAATGGTGGGGTGTAAATGACATTCCACAGTATTCAATAAATTTGCTTTCATTAACCAATGTAATCCTCTGTCTACCAGAGGACCGTGTGATGATTCCATGATTTCAAGAAGATTC